GACTCTGTTTTACATACGCCAAGTAGACTTTTAGTGAGATAAAGAAAACTAAAATTAAGACATTTTCAGAAAATCGATGACTCTGGAAAACATCTTAGGCTCAGAAAGACAAATACCACATGCTCTACCCTCCCCTCTGTCTGCTTCTGTTTCTGCCTCTGTCTCTGTGTCTATCTCTGTGTCTGTTTGTCTGTCCCTCTTTCTGTGTATGACTCTGGGTATATATGGGCTTATGTGTATATGGAATATGCACATGTGTATGTACAGTGTACATGTACAGAAGCCATTGGAGGGCATCGGGTGTTCTGATCTTCACTTTTCACCATGTTCCCTTAAGAAGGGGTCTCTTACTGCAACTGGAACTAGGCTGGCAGCCAACAAGCTCAAGAGTCCCATTGTTCTTGCCACTTGCCTATAAGCACTGTGTTATAGGCACACGTACCCATGCTCAGCTCTTTATGTGAGTGTGGAAACTCCAACTCCCCCTAGGATTTGTGCAGACAGCAAGCATTCTTACTCACCGAGCCATCTCCCTGCCCACATTCTCTCTATTACATGCATCCATATGTATATGTATATATGCTTTTTTGTGGAAGTACATGTGAACATAGGTTATGAAACTAGTAAGTCCATGAGAGGGAAAAGCATATTATAAGGAAAGTGTGTAGGGATGGTAATATAATACAGGTCTTATAGAAGTGGAAAGAGGAATATTGGAAACTGAAGGACATAAATGGGAATAAGGACCAGGGAGACAGCCAATGAAGTGCATGTGGATGGCAGGGATCTCCCAAAGTAAAGTATGTTGTAAAATGCCATAAAGAAGCTTATTACAAGCCGGGCGTTGGTGGCGCATGCCTTTAATCCCAGCACTCGGGAGGCAGAGGCAGGCAGATCTCTGTGAGTTCGAGGCCAGCCTGGTCTACAGAGTGAGTTCCAGGACAGCCTCCAAAACAATACAGAGAAACCCTGTCTCGAAAAACCAAAAAAAAGAAGCTTATTACATTTTATGCTAAGTAAGCAAGAACATGATTTTCAAGATTATAACTGGGCATATGTCCTTATCAATTTTGATGACAAAGTAGAAATAAGCTGTGGTATATTCTTGCTCATAACCCTTGACATGCAGAAAAAGTAAGATTTCTTTGTTAAAATTAAAAAGAAAATATATGTCTGTGTCTATGTGTGTGCAGATACACACAAAAGGAGTCATCAGATCTCTGTAGTATAGGCATTTGATCTGGGTGCTGGAATCTGAACTGATAAAACAGTAAGTGTTCTTAGCTATGGAGTCATGGCTCCAGCCCTTAACACTAATTTCCTGTGGATCTCTTTTAAAATGGAATAAGCCTATTTCAGAGAAACTTCTGAAATTGCCTCATGAATCACTTGCCCTGAGTAAGTGACATAATTGGGAGGAGAAGGCTGATTAGAGATGAGAAAGGGAACTTGCTCTCATTAGGAAATTTCCAAAAACCTTGCTCCTCAAATCTCCAAACACAAACACCCCAATTCTCACACAAAGGGTTATTGGAGCCTCTGCTCAGGACCAAGCACAGGTCAGTTAGGGCTGCTCTTACTTCGATGGCAGAGATGACAGAAATAAAAATTGCATGCATAGCAGATCATGTTATCATCCCTGGAATGAACTCTGACCAGTTTGAGCTAAACTTATTTACATGATAGAATTTCATAAAGTAAATTCCATTGTAAAGTGGCCTACCCTAACCCTACACATGTTTTTTTCAGTTGGAGTCAACATCTTCCTGGGTCATCGTTTTATGCTGTTAAGAATCTTCTGCTATCTCCCAGCCAGTTGAGCCATGTCGCATAAGCTATTCTTACTGACACATGGTCAGAAGGGTAAATTTTTTTTACTTAATTTTTAAAATTTTTAAATTAAAATTTAAATTAGAAACAAGGTTGCTTCACATGTCAATTCCAGGTCCCTCTCTGTTTCCCTCCCCTCCTCCTGTGCCCTCTCACCAGCCCCCCCCAATATCCCCTCATTTCCCCAGGGAGGATGAGGCCCTCCATGGGGTTGTCCATAGGCTGTCATTTCATCCAGGGCAGGGCCTAGACCCTCCCCCAAGAATTCAGGGTGAGAGTGCACTCTCATTGTTGGGAGTCCAAAGTCAATTTGTATACCCGGGATAAATATTGATCTACTACCCAAGGCTCAATAGATTACCTAGGACTCCTCACTGACACCCACATTCAGGGGGTCTTGATCAGTCCCATGCTATAATCCCAGGCATCAGCCTGGTATTCAAGGGTTAACCCTTGTCAGCTCAGCTGTTTCTGGGGTTAAACCAGCCCAGTCTTAACTCCTTTGGTCATCAGTCCTCCCTCTCTGTTACTGGCTTTCTTGACTTCAGCTCAGTACTTAGCCATGGGCGTCTGCCTCTTCTTCCATCAGCTACTGAATGAAGGCTCTGTCTTCCAGACTCTCTGGCCATGGGATTGTAGGCTGGCACTCACCAGAACTATGTCTAAAATCCATATATGAGAGAGTCCATGTCATGTTTCTCTTTTTGTGACTGGGTCACCTCACTCAGGATGGTTTCTTCTAGTGCCATCCATTTGACTGCAAATTTCAGGATTCCATTGTTTTTGTCTGCTGAATAGTACTCCATTGTGTAGATGTACCACATTTTCTCTGATTTAAGCCATTCTGACAGGAGTGAGATGGTATCTCAGAGTTGTTTTGATTTGCATTTCCTGGATGGCTAAGGATGGTGAGCACTTTCTCAAGTGCCTCTCAGCCATTTTAGACTCCTCTATTGAAAATTCTCTATTTAGTTCTGCAGCCCACTTTTTAATTGGATCCTTTGGTGGTTTGGAGACTTGCTTCTTGAATTCTTTGTAAATTTTGGAGATCAGCCCTCTGTCAGATGTGGGGTTAGTGAATATTTTTTTCCCATTCTGTGGGCTGCCTTTTTGTCTCGCTGACTGTGTCCTTTGCCTTACAGAAGCTTCTCAGTTTCAGGAGGTCCCATTTATTAATTGTTGATCTCACTGTCTGTGCTAGTGGTGTTATGTTCAGGAAGCTGTCTCCTGTACCAATTCGTTCACCCACTTTCTCTTCAAAGAGGTTCAGTGTAGCTAGATTTATATTGAAGTCTATGATCCATTTGGACTTAAGTTTTGTGCATTGTGATAAACATGGATCTATCCACAGTCTTCTACATGCCAGCCTCCGGTTATGCCAGCACCATTTGTTGAAGGTGCTTTATTTTTTCCATTGTATATTTTTAGCTTCTTCGTCAAAAATCAGATGTTCATACATGTGTGAGTTAATATCAGGGTTTTTAATTTGATTCCAGTGGTCTACCTGTCTATTTTTGTGCCAATACCAAGCTGTTTTCAGGACTATAGCTCTATAATAGAGCTTGAAATCAGGGATGGTGATGCCTCCAGATGTTGCCTTGTTGAACAGGGTTGCTTTCGCTATCCTGGGTCTTTCGTCATACAAAACTGATTATTGTTCTTTAAAGGTCTGTGAAGAATTGTGCTGGGATTTTAATGGGGATTGCATTAAATCTGTAGATTGCTTTTGGCAGGATTGCCATTTTTACTACATTGATTGTACCTATCCAAGAGCATGGGAGATCTTTCCATTTTCTGAGGGCTTCTTTAATTTTTTTCTTTAAAGATTCAAAGTTCTTGCGATACAGGTGTTTCACTTGTTTGGTTAGGGTTACTCCAAGGAATTTTATGTTGTTTGTGGAAATTGTAAAGGGTGATGTTTTTCTGATTTCTTTCTCTGCCCTATTATCATCTGTATGTAGTAGGGCTACTGATTTTCTTGAGTTGATCTTGTATCCTGCCACTTTGCTGAAGGTATTATTCAGCTGTAAGAGTTCCCTGGTAGAGTTCTTTAAGTCATTTATGTAAACTACCATATCATCTGCAAACAGTGAAAGTTTGACCTCTTCCTTCCCAATTTGTATCCCCTTGATCCCCCTTTGTTGTCGTATGGCAATGGCTAGAACTTCAAATACAATATTGAAAAGGTATGGATAGAGTGGACAGCCTTGTCTTGTTCCTGATTTTAGAGGAATTGCGTTGAGTTTCTGTCCATTTAGTTCGATGTTGGCTGTTGGTTTGCTGTAGATAGCTTTTATTGTATTTAGGTATGTTCCTGTTGTCCCAGATCTCTCCAAGACCTTTATCATGAAGGGATGTTGGATTGTGTCTAAGGTTTTTTCAGCATCTAGTGAGATGATCATGTGATTTTTGTTTTTCAGCTTGTTTATATAGTGGATTATATTCCCAATATGTGAATTCTTGAAGTTTGTTTCATTCCAATTTCTTTCCAGTTAAATCCATTGTCTGAACAATTTCCTGAAAGTTACAGTTGTCCTACCCTGTTTCTAGGAAGACTCCATAACTGATGCTTCTAATTGAGTTTAAATCCAGAGGGTTGCATTTAAGGTTCTTGATAACCTGATCCACTTCCACCATGTCCCAAACCTCTCCAATGTGTGACACTTTGTTAACGTTATCCCACTCTTTTCCCCAGTCCTCCTCCCACTTTGTGCTCATTTCCATAATCATAGACTCTACTAGCTTCTGTTTCATTTCAAATATGATATTTTTCCTCTTTAAGGTACAGTTTAATTCTGATTGTTAAATAAAATTCTTAATTGTTATTTAACAACTAAGCATTAGAGGTCATATAACCTTCATTTGCTGAAACACAAATGTAGTGGCAACTTGTTCTGCCAATAGACTTGGCCTTAGGGTGTAGCTTCAGTGTGTAGACATGACCCCTTATACAGAACAGGAGAGGCTCTTTATGTCTCTCTCTTTTGAGTTGTGGTCTCAGCATCCTGGATTTGTAGACCCTGTGCCTCCAGGGGCAGAAGACCACAGCAGTTATTTACTATCATCGAGTGAGTGCTTCCCAAATACACAAACACATGGGGAAAGGGCAGTATTGATTTTAATTCCAGATGTATTATGCTTTCTGGAATGAACTTGGACATGCTATTCAATATTTTAAAGCATGAGTTTTTTTATTCAAGAAAAACATCAAAATAAAACCAATTACTTGGTCTGTAGTATACATGAAAGGCCTCACACACTTCCTTGCAGATAAACTGTTTACAGTAAGCTATCTTTGTTTAATTTTGCAAAATTTTTTGATGACTAAACATTGTGTTTTCAATCAATCCATTGATTTCCTACCTCATGAATTACTTGAACATGGCATCACTATTTTACATATGCTATGAACATGTCAATATGTAATGCCAGTTTTTGTTGTTTTAATCACACAAACCAAAAATCAGTGATCATATCAGAAAACTTTTGTTAATGATTATATTTAATAACTGGAATGCCATATTGATGAACACATGAACAATGACAATAAATTAAAGTCCTTAGGAATTTCATCACAAAGAACATCATTTTAAACTACATGTCAGCAAGTCCCCAGAATACAAATAGTCTGTTTCATAGAATGAGAGTAAAATTGTGCATACCAAATATGAAATGCTCTTAATGAAAAGCCGTCTACTCTGTGTGAATGACTGTTCACTCATACTATCTTAAATATCTAAAGTCAGATAAAAAACCATCATGTACCAATGTAAAGTTAAACTCCCCAACAACGATGTTATTGAAAACGGTGTTATTGAGATTTGCGCTGATTATGGTTGGGATCAAGAAATTTGACAACAGTGAAATGAAGATTTACCTAATATATACTAAATTTTATCCTTTAAATTTTCTAAATATTTCAAAAACTGTCACATTCATGATCAATCCTAACAGTTCAAATTGGTCCCTGTTCCTTAGATAGTAGAAGTAAATTTTATCAGAATAATTTTTTAAAAAATGATTTGATTCAAACAGCCTAATGCATTAACATTTTTTATTTCTGTCATTTTCTATTTTCCATGTATCTGTAGTTTTGGAGAATTGTAGTATCTAGTAGAAATTGTCCAGGGGAGACGATACTTGTTTCACAACATTACAAAATCATTTCTTCTTCATGCTTCTTTTAATCACATTTATTACTTCCTTATTTCTCAGGCTATAAATAAAAGGGTTTAATAAAGGAATTACCAGAGTATAAAAAATAGCAACAGGTATTTCTTTATCTCCTTCATTAACTGAACTTGGTCGAATATACATGTAGAGAAGAGACCCATAGAATATTGACACGGACAGAAAGTGAGAAGCACAAGTAGATAAGGCTTTGCTTCTTCCCTCCTTAGATTTCATTTTGAATATAGTGAAAAGGATATAGAAATAAGATATCAGGACTATAGTAATGGAAAAAATTTGAACTGATCCTGAAAAGATGAGTATCATCAATTCATTGAGATAAGGGTCAACACAGGAGAGTCTATATAATGGAAGGACATCACAAAAGAAGTGCTTGATTACATTAGACCTACAGAAAGTTAACCTGAACAAGAACCCTATGTGAATGATGGAATGCAGGTGTCCAGCTATGTAGGCTCCTGTGGTCATCTGAAGGCAGAGCTTCTTGGACATCATGGTGTGGTACTGCAGCGGGTTACATATGGCCACATAGCGGTCATAGGCCATTGCTGCCAGAAGGAAGCAGTCTGCAGTTTCAGCAAGACAGAGAAAATAGAACTGTGCCATGCATTCATAGAGAGAAATCCTTCTGTCCACGGAAAAGAAGTTCTGCAGCATCTTGGGAGTGATGGCGCAGGAGCAGCAAGAATCCATGAGAGCCAGGTTGCCCAGAAAGATGTACATGGGTGTGTGAAGACGGCGTTCCATGTAGATCAAGGCCACCAGTCCAAGATTTCCCACCATGGTGACTAGATAAATGACAAAGAATACCAGGAATAGAAGGGTCTTCAGGTCTGGGTGATCCGAGAATCCCACCAGGATGAACTCTATTGTCAAGGAGTAGTTGTTCTCAGTCATCTTCTGTTTCTCTGTTGACAAGTGAGAAAGAAGGAAGAGTGCAACTGTGAATGGATCATTTTCCACATTACTATTATTATTATTATTATTAATTTTACAGCAGAATAATTTCTTATGCAAACATCACCTGCTGTCCCTGGAATATAGCTCCTGTGCTTTTGTGTTTCTTTTATTCTTAAAGAGTCAACATCTTTGAAATTTACTAGAATGTTTTAATAATCTTGGGTGTGTACTTCAAGTAGAATAGGATTACTTTTCTGCTCATGTATAAAGCAGATCCTTATGTAGCAGGCAAAGTCATTGTACCCAGATTTGTTTCATTGTCCTCACATAATTCCATTGTTCATTTTTTGAGTTCCTTAAAACATATTTAAATCAGCTATCATGCAATATAAGAAGGAGGCAATTTTTAAAAAGGACCATAGAAACATGTGATACAATTCAGTTGGTAGAATGCGTGCTTACCATGCATGAAGCTGTGGATTCCACCCTCAGTGACTCACAAACAAGGGATGATGGTGGCAGAGGATCAGAAGTTCAAAGTCAACCTTAGCCACATAGTGAGTGAATGATGGCCTGGAAAACATGATACCTTGTGTCAGAATAAGCAAATAATAAAATACGCATCAATTAGCAATGTCACAAGAGATGGAGGGCTTTGTGGGCATAAAATCAGCTTAGAATGAAGAAATACATGTTCTAAATTATCAGTCTAATTTCGTTTCAACAATAAGCCTTTGCCATTATCCCAAGATTATATATATATATATATATATATATTTCTTCTCCTTCTCCTTCTCCTTCCCCTTCCCCTTCCCCTTCCTCTTCCCCTTCCCCTTCCCCTTCTCCTCCTTCTCTTTCTCCTTTTCCTTCTCCTTCCCCTTCCCCTTCCCCTTCCCCTTCCCCTTCTCCTTCTCCTTCTCCTTCTCCTTCTCCTTCTCCTTCTCCTTCTCCTTCTCCTTCTCCTTCTCCTTCTCCTTCTCCTTCTCCTTCTCCTTCTCCTTCTCCTTCTCCTTCTCCTTCTTCTTCTTCTTCTTCTTCTTCTTCTTCTTCTTCTTCTTCTTCTTCTTCTTCTTCTTCTTCTTCTTCTCTTCCTCTTTCTCCTCTTCTTCTTTCTCCTCCTCTTCCTTATTGTAAGGGACATTTACAAGGAACACTACTCAATAAAAGTTTGATTTAGTTTAAAAGACCTAAGTAATCTTATTTTCTGTATTATGCTACATACACCATAGTGCAACAAAATTCTCCAAATCTGGTGCATAATTTTCACTGCTTTATTTTTGTAAATATATCTGAAAGTTTTTTTCTGACTACACTTCTAACATTCTGGGGGTTATTTGCTGCATGCTTCTGTGAAAGGAAATATAATTGGCAGTGGGAGAAAGGAGAACTAATTCCAGTCCTAGATCGATAGCCTGAGATCAGTGACCTTGTTTCTGTATCCTCATCATGATATTGAGAGAACTCTGCTTTGTATATATGATCAATGCCTTAAGAAGAGTCTATAATGAAAATTGCAAAATTGCCATCGTAAGATATAGGTATCTTCTTTTATATTTATTCCTTGTTCCTCAAAAATTATGTAATTTTTCTGGCAAATAAGCTAATAATTCAAACTTATCATTAAGCTTCAGTTTTAATACTTACTAGAAAATACAAATTCTAAGAGAATTTAGGAAAATAAATTTGTTTTGCTTTAAAAATCTGTTTCACGCGATTAATGTTTCACTAGAACATATTGACTAATCATGCTAACTTGATGGTCAAAACAGGTTTGATTTTCTGTAATCAAACATCAAGAGGTAGTCTGTAGAAATTTCATTGCTGTAATAACTAAATGTACTTCATATAGTTAAGTGAAGCAGAAATAGCTTTCAGCGTACATGCCTGTTTTATCATAGGATACTTTGTGATCTTTCCTGTATAGGCTGAAGTTATCCTACTGGAAAGTCACATTGATTACTGTTCTATGCCTTATTCTTCTTTCAGATGCCACTCAGGTATGAGAAGAGCTAATAATATTATGGAGGAGTTGAAATATAGAACATAAAAGTTATAGGATTTCAGAGAAGTAAATCTGTTTTTATTACAAGAAAACTACCTACCCAGTAGAAGTGTTAGAATACCTCTTTTACCTTTAGTTTGCCAAGGAGTTTTTCATAGTGAAGCATTGGCTTTGCAGTGGAAATCTCAGAACTGTTTTGAAAGAGTAAAAATCAGAGATGATCTAAGACCAGTGCTACTTATGTCCACCCCACAGCATAGTTAAGTGTGCCAAGAAATCCTAAAGGAATTTCCCTGTACTGCAGACCATTCCCTGTAGATATTAGCCCTTAAACCATACAAACCATTTGGATGTATTCAGCAATATCCTGCGAGTCAGTGGTGTTAAGAGCAAATGACCTTTCCTCAAGTTTGTTTGAAGACAATTCTGCAGGTTTGTAACTAACTAACTTGAATTTTATAATGTTTTCCCAAATGTGTGCATAAAATATCAAACAGTGTATGTAGTGTAAAAATGCACTCCATTGGAGAAAAGTGATTTTTTCCCTCCTAGCAGGTATTAATTTGCAAATAGATTCTTGGTTAAGGGGTGGGCTTTGTGTTCACATCCCCTTATCATTCTAGGGATTTTGTCTTGTTTGGACCTGTACAAGTCTTGTGCATGCCACTATTCTCTCTCTCTCTCTCTCTCTCTCTCTCTCTCTCTCTCTCTCTCTCTCTCTCTCTCTCTGTGTATGTGTGTGTGAGAGAGTTCATATGTGCATTTATATTATATCTGGAAGACAGCTATTCCATGGAGTCATCCACTCCCTGAACTTGCTCCTATCTGCATATCTTAAACAGATCAGAATAAATAGAAAGAAGGATAAATGATTGTTCCATACCTTTTCTGCTTCCCAGGTAGGGATCTTAGAAGTCTGTCATATCATTTGGGGCAGGGCCTATGTCTTCCCCCATATGTCTAGGCTGAGACAGTATCCACCTATATGGAGTGGGTACTCAAAGTCCATTTGTATGCTAGGGATAAATACTGATCCACTACCAGAGGCCCCATAGATTTCTGAGGCCTCCTAACTGACACCCATGTTCAGGGGGTCTGGGTCAGTCCTATAATGGTTCCCCAGCTATCAGTCTGGGGCCCATGAGCTCTCCCTTGTTCAGGTCAGTTGTTTCTGTGTTTTCTTCAACCTGGTCTTGACTATGGGAATATTTTAGAGGATTTTTTTCTGCAATAATGTGTGAACTGGGAGATGATGTAGTTTGATCACATTTACACTCCTCTCACTCTGGCTAATCCCCTTCCATTTCCTTTTTGACTCCTCTCCCTTTTAATGACCCAATGAGTTTCATTAAGATTTCTTACAGCAAAATTTGTGAGGAGTTGTTTATATTCATGTGGTCACCTTACCAGTGGATACACTCCTGAAGAAAATGTCTGTTTTTCCCCTCTCAAGTATTAACTGCTTACAAATGCTCAGGGAATTGTGGGGTCTCGTGAACCCCTCTTCCTTCTCAATCTTTTGCAGATCTTGTAATAGATAATGATATATTCTGTAAGTTCAACAGTGAAATATCCATGTTGTTCTACAGCACTGTTTTATTTATACCAACTCTTACATTCTTTTCATGTCAGCTCATGAGGTTTCAGATATGGGGAGAGGATTCTGTTAGGCATTATACTAAGGTCATTCATGCTACATTCTAGAAAGAATTTGTGTGCATTCTCCTGGTGTTCTGAGAAGTTATGAGAGACTTATATAAAACTTAATAAAAATAACTTGTTTAGTGGAAATCTCAAGGCAGGCCATGGAAAGACTACTACTCAGTGTAACGTGTAGTCTTATGCCAGCTGCTTGGGTTCTGAGCTGTCTCATCCCCCAAATACCACCCAGAATGCTGTATTAATTATAAAGCTGTTGGACGTTTGCTATGATTCCTTATCGGCTAGTTCCGACTTAATTATTAACCCATAACTGCTAATCTAAATATTTCCATGTGGTCTTCTCTTACTGGAGAAAGAATCTACACATCTTACTCCTCTGGCATCTTACATTGTGACTAACTGTGCCTCTGTTTCCCAGAATCCTCCTCAACCCCTAGTCCCACCTATCTTGCTTCCCTATTGGCCAACAGTGCTTTATTTAATCATCCAATAAGACAACATATACACAGAAGGACTTCCCCCATCATCTCCTCTTTTTTATCTAAATAAAAACAAAGGTTTTAACTTTAACATAGCCAAATTATATGTAACAACAGTTATCAAGTAAGAATTATAGTTACAATATTTAGTCATTAACATTTATTAAGATTTAAAGAAAGCATTTTATCATCTATCCTATTTGTGTGAGTCTAAAGTCTTATATGTAACTTATCTTTTATCATAACCAAGGAAAACTATAATTATAACTAGCTGTCTTCAACTCTATCAAGACCACAGAAAGATAATATAATCTAAAATTGACAGAGACACCTTGTTACCTGGACAATCACCTGAAGTTCCTCTGTAATGTTGGGGCATTAATCTTCAGTCCATAGGCCACAGTGTGTCTGACAGGCTTTTCAGCAAAGCAGGAAAATTTAAAATGTCCATTTGCATTTGTCAGTCATTTTTCTATGTCCAGAAGAATGTCTGGAAGACTCTTCCATGAAGCAGGAACCCTTCAGGACTGTCCATCTTGTTTTTTTTTTATATTTTATTTTCCAGTTTAAATTTAGATAAGAAATGAGGTTGCTTCAAAAGTCAGTTCCAGGTCCCTCTCCCATTCCCTCCCCTCCTCCCGTGCCCTCCCCCCAACTCCCCCCCCTCCGTTAACTTGTTTTGCAAGTAGAGCAGTCACTTTCCTGTGGGTCCTGCATGTCCAGTTTATACAGTCAAACAGTCCACACAAGAGCAGTTTCTTGCCCAAATGGCTAATCTTCCTCTCAGACATAATTAGTGTGTCAGGAGTAGTTGTGTCTCATTATGATGAAAAATCCTAAACCATTTAAATGCCATATATTTTGTAGGTCTTTGAAATGTTTGAAGAATATCTATCCATCTCAAATAATCTCTTTATATCTAGAGAAACTAACTATCCTAACTATAAGTTCTGACTATTATAGGTGACTATATACAATCTGTATTTAATTATGCATTACATTTTAAAAGATCAGTATAAGTACAATACTTAAACAAGAGGAGAAATATACATATCACAAAATTGATCTTAAATTTGTATCAATAAATGATACAATAAATACCAATACAAAGTATTCATTTATATATCATATTCCCCTTTTCCCTTTGTAAAGAGATTGACTGTGATCATTACTATTTATAAGCAACCCCATTTAAATTAAAACAAAATTTTATAAACAATATTTGGGGATTTGGGTGTTGTTCATTCCAAAATGCCCCCCTGCTGGTAGTGGGTGCTGTCCATACCCTGGGGATCATGACAAAACACAGAAACCTTGCTAAGTCCTTGTTTTTGTAGTCTGCATCATCCTAGCTGTTTCAGATGCTGGGCTGTCTGGGAAATTGCTTCACGGGGTCTTACTTCATCAAACCGTAGAAGCCTAGAAGGAATCCACAGCTTTCCATTTTCTCTGCAAACATAAAATCTCTTTTCCAAAGTAACATATCTTATACTTAAATTTTGAAGTCAAAGTATTTTTAAAATAAGTTGGATTAATTTAGCAGCATTTATAATCAAGTATATTTCGGCAGTTGTTACTT